GTTTTACAGTTATTTGACCAACTACCCTCACTAAAAGTAATCTCAATGATTTGTACAAAGATTTCTTTAACGTTTATTGTAAGGAATTCAATAACATTTTGTCCCAAAAAAAAATAGTATTAATAATCCTATAACTTTTATTATGTGGGCTACACCAGGAATCTACAAATGCAGAAAAAGGTTCTATGAACTATATGATGAGCGTAATTATAATATAAGTGAGGACTTCAAAGAATATGTACGAAATCACTCTAAATTACTTTAAAAAAACATTGTGTCGTTTACCCAAATGTAATTATTTCAATACAAAAATTAAAAATAGTAAAGATAAAGTTAAAATGACGTGGAATATCATAAATAGTGAAACTGGAAGAGAAAAATCCCGGAATGTAAATTTTAATTTAAACATTGATAATAAAAAAGGTAACATCAGATCTTGAATTTGCTACAGTATTTGAAAATTTAGTTACTAAAATACCAGTCTTAATTACACAATCATTGAATTACTCTTCCACTGTTTCTGAATCAATTTTAAAGGCAAGTTTAAATAATTTTAATAGCCAATTTAAGTTCCAACACATTGATTTTAACGCTATAATAAAATCTTTTAATCAGCTAAAGAAAAATAAAACCGCTGATTTATGGGGTAATTCCATTGAAGTTTCTAAATCGGTAATTGAGACAATAGCTCCAATCCTAGCTTATATATTTAATGAATATACTGATTGTTGTATTTTTCTTGAGCTCATGAAATATAGTAAAATTATTCCTATACATAAATCGGGTAGCACATCTGACCCTACTAACTTTAGACCTATATCCGTGCTACCTACATTTAGTAAGATTTTTATAAAAATCATGCTGAATCAAATACAAACATACTTTTACAAGAATAAGCTTATGAATCGACAACAATTTGGTTTTACAAGAGGTCGCTCAACAACCGAAGCCGGTGTCGAGTTAATACAAGAAATTTTTAATGCCTGGGCGGATTCCCATGATGCGTTAGGTATTTTCTGTGACCTATCTAAGGCATTTGATTGTGTTTTTCATGTCTAATATTCGGCGCGAGAAACCACACATGAAACATTGATTAGGCAACTTCATTTTTATGGATTTAGAGATAACTCATTGGATTTTATTGTCTCACACTTGACTAACAGAGTACAGAGTGTTGATATCAATGGCAAAAGATCCCCTGGATCGAAAGTGAAGATGGGTGTTCTGCAGGGCTCAATACTTGGTCCTTTCTTGTTTTTGATTTACATAAATGACTTGCCTTATTTCGTAAGGGATAATCACAAAATAGTTTTGTTTTCGGATGACACTTCAGTTTTGTTTAAAATTAAAAGAGGGTTACCTCTAAATGACGATGTGAACAATTCTATCGCTAAAGTAGTACATTGGTTTAATGTAAATAATCTTCTCCTTGATGAAGGAAAACAAAATGCTTAAAATTTGTACTACCTAATGTTAAAAAAGTAGATATAAATGTTAATATAAAACATAAGCACATGGGCCTTGTGGATACCACAGTATTTTTAGGAATAACATTAGATTCTAAACTACAGTGGGGCCCACATATTGATAGATTGTCGAGTAGAGTTAGCTCTGCAGCATATGCCATAATGAAAATACGTAGGTAAACTGACATAGATACTGCCAGATTAGTATACTTCAGTTACTTTCATAGTGTAATGTCGTACGGACTCCTATTGTGGGGAAATGCTGCCGACATACAAACAATTTTTGTGCTTCAGAAAAGAGCAATTCGATCAATTTATAATCTTAGGATTAGGGACTCTTTAAGGGAGAAATTTAAGGAAATAGACATTATGACTGTTGCTTCTCAATATATATATGAGAACTTAATGTACGTTCTTAAAAATATTAGTTTGTTTTCTATAAAAAGTGATGTACACAATTTAAATACAAGAAATAAAAATAAATTAACGGTGCCTGTCACTAGACTGCAAAAAGTTAATAACTCATTCAAGGGTCTTTATGTGCGCTTCTACAATAAGGTCCCAAGCAAAATACAACAATTAGATATCATGCAGTTTAAATCGACTATTAAAAAAATACATATTACAAAAGCTTATTATAAGATATCCGATTATATAACAGATAAGAACGCTTGGACTTTAGATGATCCAGCAACTGGATAGGTGATTACTTCTAAACTCATTACCTTGTTTCCATTATTATGAAATGATTATGTTTTCATTATAAGACCATAGTTTTTTTTCTATCTCTGTTTATAATGTATTGATCTGGTAATGACATGGTTTTTGTAAATGTCATTACTCTTATTAGAGCTGGTGAGTCTCTTGCTCGTTCTTCTTATCAGCCAAAAGTCGTCCTGAACGAGTGGTAGGGAAAAAAATGTTGGACGATTCAAAAGTACTTTTAAGAAGTCTATTTGAATAAAGATTATTTTGACTTTGAATTTGACTTGACTTTCTTAATTTCGAACGCACAAGTTATTTGCACGTTTCACCTAGCACAAGCGTCATTTTAGCCAGAAGTCATGTTACTTTGTACAAATACCTAAATATTTGATACATATGGGGTAAGTATATAGATAATAAACGTTAAGACTAAGACTCTATGTTACTCGTAAGACTGACGGCTAATTTGCTACATATTCACTTAAATACCAGCTGCTATACTAAACTGTTGTCATTTAAGCTATCTATTAAACAAATTTATGAGTATTTGACTAACTTAAATGATTTAAAAAGTGTTCATCTTAAAGAACCTAAAGATTAAGGTTTGTATAGTTTAAAATACGTAATCTGGGATTGTCATTTCACTACTTTTCTTCTTCTTCTTTTATGAATGGCTTATCATTTGGCTGGGCATTTCACACAATTTTACCAATGTCAAGTGAATAAATTAATTCCTACATGTAAAATGAAAATAAAATGAATGAATGATTAATTAAAACATTTTAATAGATGGCAGGATAAATGATAGAATAGAATTGTCAGTGTTGATATGAATCCGATAATTCGCATTAATATTGAGTTGAAATTCAATTAATTCGAGTTACGCAAATGCAACTCGATTAATACGAACACTTCTTTAATAAATTTGTTTAAAAGCAGCATTTAGCTACGATATACAATATTATTACCGTGAAATAGTTTTTATAAAAAAAAATACTTATGCCATGGCAGGTCTAGGCATTTTTCATTATTATACTCAACAAAAGTTCTAAAAACAGTAACTAGGTAAATAGTTTTCAAGTCTCAATAATGTTTTTATATTTTGTGTGGTGAATGAATGAATAGCAATGATATTAATATCTCTAGATGCGCAATACATAGCCAAAAAGTGAAGCTACTAAAACTAAGACGTTTGTCTTAGTTTTATCGTTTTTCATTTCAATACTCATTCAACTCCCGCCGAGAAAGTACAAAAAATGCTCCGCAAAAACGAAGAAAAACAGTGCATAAAATACGATTCTCTTTCACAAATACAGATAATACGAAAGAAAATTAAGTTTCACACTTAAGTCATTAACATTTTTGGCAATAAAAACAAAATTAAAGCTAGTTTATAAAATAAAAATATTTAATTTTCACAAATAAAATTTTGACATTTTATCGTCAGTGTTGCCATTGCTATTCACTTTCAATTTTCCACACTATATGGGAGCCTTTTCTTTTTATTTTATGTGGCTATAATTTATCTAAATATCTTCTTTTAATTAATTATATGGCTCATATTTAGTTTAGGCAACTGTGCAAATCGTGTTGATATTTTTTTCATACACGCACACAGATGCTAAAGTGGTTTAATTTTTTAAAGTTAATTTAATTTTTTCAAGGCGTGGAATTCGTTAGTTGTCGCGCTACAACTTTTGAAAATACGTAAAATTGAACCTTTATTTGATCTTTTGTTAACTTTAACAAATGTTTTTCTCTTGTAACTGACTTTATCAAAAACAAAGGGATTTATATGCACAGAGCCTACTTTTGTGGTTGTTTTTTCTTTTCAAAGTTTTTTCAAATAAATTTCCAAAGATAGAGTATTTTTCTAATTGATTTTATACATATATCTACATTATTTGTTCATTTATTCATTCATCATAATGGGTGAATTTTCGAGAGCTGGCAATACAATATCAATTACCCATTTTTCCGTTCATTCTGTCATTCGCACATATTCTGTCTTTGTTTAATTTAAGGTTTAATCGTAGATATGAGAGAGACAAATATAATAAACCTATTTATATTATATAGTATAAATATTATTTGCAAAGCTACGTCCTGATTTCGGAAAAGTGCTACGCTTTTTGGCGCGTCTGTTGTATGAAATTGCTTCTCTAATTATTAAACTCATTGATGAATAGGGTTTATTCATGAGTAATAAAGGTCATAAAAACGATCATTATAATAAAAATTCCGTTTATTATCTATATACTTACCCGATATGTATCAAATATATTAGGTATTTGTACAAAATAACGTGATTTCTAGCTTGTTGTTTTTTTTTTTTAATTCCTTACTTATTCTTTGATTTGTTGATTCAATTATTGTTTTTAGTATTTCATTTGCATTTCTTTAAATTAAGTTCTTGTATATCTGTCTTCCAACATTTAAACATTTGCATTAACGTACATTGAAATTTAATGCGACATTACCGATTCAAATGAGACATTCATTAGATTTGTTGTTAGTGTTGGCAACATTATCCTTCTATGACGCTAGGCGTTGTTTATGCTTGTTTGCTTGTAAGTCAAATTAATAATCAACTGTCAACTAAATAATGTCAACCTTCATGTTCTTTCTGTAAAATAGAACCAGATTTTTGTGATCACTTTATGATATTTTATGATAATGGCTTAGTAAACGCGTATCTGTAACTCTTAAATGTAAAATTGATCTATAAGTTTAAAAATAAGCGGTGATAAGAGTAGTAGTTAAAAAGGCTAATGAGTGATTAATGTTGAGACTAGTTTTATGAAGCCCACAGTGTAAACGTTAAATAAAATGGCACAAAGATTTCCAACTGGCGGGCCAAGCCCTGCACCTCCGCCAGGACCTATGCAGCAACAGCAGCAACGCTATCCCGGCTCTGGCCAGCCACCAGGCTCACCGATGCCACCGCGGCCCTATCCGGGTCCTAATTTCCCAGTTAGTATATTTCTTATGAGTTTCTGTATCAGTTATCAGTGTATAGATTTTCAGCACAGCTAGGCATATAGACCATATAACTGATTTATGAAGGTGCATGTTAAATAGTAGCAAAAGTAATGTGTTATTGTATGATGTAGCCTAGTTTGATAAACTACAAAACCCATTTTTTTATTATATTAGGTACCTATTACCTTCTCACTTTTAGAATGAGAGTATATAAGGCTACCACTGATATTAACCTTATATTATGAAGTTTAATTAATAATGCTTAGTTCACATTTATTTCTAAAACTGTTTGACCAATTTGCGCTCATTGTTTGCAAAATGTTCACAATGTATAGCTACGTCCACACATGCTGCAATGCAAGTTCAGCTCGATTTGTTTAATACTTGTCTGAAAGATACCATTTTAAGTGCTAAGCTATACCAACCTACCTTCTTCTTTGTCGGGCACTCTTACAGTGTGAATAACATGTTCCTAAGGTCATCGAATGGTTATGAATATTGTAAATTGATTAGAAACTTAATGACCCAGCTAAAGAAAAAATAAAACTCAATATAATGGAATAATTTATTGAAATTTTTACTAATGTGATTTCATTATAGTTTGTACCATTATAGTTACCAGGTATCTGGGCTGTCCCTGCTTAATGCATTTCCTTGAAGTTCACTCCATAACTCATACAATCTTACATAAGACGGCTACAATCTGAAAGCATTTTAATACCATTGGCTACAGTTGGGAAAAGTATTTTATAACTTTTATATTACATATAGTAACCTGTAATACTAATATTTGTTTTCAGAACAGAATAACTTTTAATTAAAAGAAAATATCCTTCTTTAGTATTAATGGATTATGGGTTATCATGGATGTTAACAATTTTGATTTTGCGGGTTATTAGGTGCTCGCTTTCTAGTGTCGATATGATCATATCAAAGATTTTATTTTTTTTTGAAAAGCAAAATTTTTTCAAAAGCATGATAAGGTTTGTGACATCATTCTCAATGAAATATGGTGGACTACCAAAGATCACAGAAGTTATTTTTAATACACTTCTACAATATGGGTATCTCGGTGGCGTAGTGGATAAGCGCCGCGGCCCGCGATCATTGTCGTTAAGCAACTTTCGCAAGGGTCGGTCACGGGATGGGTGACCAAAAAATTATTATCTCGAGCTACTTCGTGCTTCGGAAGGCACGTTAAGCCGTTGGTCCCGGCTGCATTTGTAGTCGTTAATACCCTTCAATCCGCATTGGGCCAGCGTGAAGGGTCATGGCCCATCCTCCTTAACCATCCATAAGGAAGGCCTGAGCCCCTGCAGTGGGGACGTAAAAGGGCTGGTGATGAATATGGGTATCAAATGAAAGGGCTTGCAGAGAATTTTATTTTTATTTTATTTAAAATTAAAATTTGTTGAAATTAGTATTATTTATGTAAAATTAATGTAACCTTATAACATCTGTATGTAGATACATGCACTGTAATCACAATATCTAGCATATTGCATGCACAGTGATGATTTCAACACAGAACTGTACCTTCAAGGTAGGAACTGAATACATTCTTAATGTCCTGTTGTGCTATTGAAAAGGTTGAATCTACTATAGTCATTCTACTTGTATTTAGTTTGTTGATATTGATGATGCTGTTACTCCTAAATTTTGTATGTGCAAAAGGGGTATGAAGCAAAATATTTTTCAGACAAAGATTTAAGTTCAGGATTTTAATCTGAATTTTGCTTAAAAAATATCAAATGATTTTGATTTTGCTCAAAAGTTCTGGACTATCTTATCTTTCCTTAAGCAATGTTAAGTAGAAAACAAAAATCAGTTATTTTTTTCTATGTAATGATAAGGGAAGGAGAATATGAAAACGTGAGCAATGCTGTTTGTAGACATGGGGATCTTAAAACGGGCGCAAAAAAATCCTCTGAATATTTTCCAAGCTAGAAACATATAATTCATATCCTGGGTTCCAAATATGAGAAGCATACTTGAGATGACTTACGTGTAAAATTGACTACAAAGCATTTATTGACATTGAGATCTAGTTTATTCAAATGACAAACTATTCAATTCAAATCTTCCTGAAAGAAAGCGCGTCAAACACCCTGCCATCTACTCGTAAAAACTTTAATATTGTTGGCAAACAGAAGAAATCTTGAATTTAGGAGACAAGATTTTGTCATTGATGAATATAACAAGCAATTAAGGACCAAGTAAAGACCCCTGTGGTACACCAGATGGTATGTCTACCCACGACGAAGAGTAACTGTTTAACACAACTGCTTGAGACTTATTTCTTAAAAAATACCATGGAAACCAAGTGACTAGTTTAGCAAGCAGGATGACATGATCAATTCTATCGAATGCTTTGCTGTAATCCATATCGACCTGATTGCCAGCCTGATTATGACCTGTCAAGAAATCGTTGAAAACTGTAAGATTAGTGACAACAAACCTACCCTTCACAAATCCATGTTATGCCTCTATGAAAATTTGACTAGATACAGCAATACAGTTGTTTATAAACGATACACTCTAAAACTTTGGTAACTAAACATAGTTTAGAGATTTATCATTATAATTATCATCATAGCATTTAAATAAATGGTTTTTTAAAACAGCTTATACACTTGGAAAAAAACAACTTTTTGCTTTTGGTTTTGTTTTGTAAGTTCTTTCTAGACATTATTCCTTTAATAACAAGTCCTAAATTACAAAAACAGTGTGTGTTGTGTTATAATTTATAAATATCAAGATAAATATCAAGGTATACAGATAATTATCACTCCGAGCCCTGCCAAAAAGTGTTATCGAATGTATGAAAAAGGTGTTTTTATTTATTAATTTTAATCGTCCTGCAAAAACAATAAGTCACGTCTCATTTTATACTGTGACGTCACATTTCAATATACATGAGTATCGGTCGCACTCGCAAATGTAATGTCATACGATGCTACGTCTCGGCCGCTCGAATTTCGGTTCTCGTAATCTGTAGATTATAAATAGTGAGTTACTTTTCCAAAAAAAAACTTACAATTTATATTAAAACTAAAATACTATACAGTCATCGTTCACATATAAGTTGCGATTCCCGAGATATTCCAGAATTTATCGTCACAATGCTCAAGGAGTCAATCATAACATTTTATTGGCAAATAAACAAGTCTGATCGTATTTATTTAGCAGGCACGGAGCGGTTTCCCGGCGGCGGGCGGGGGAGTGGGCGTGGGGGCGGGCGGCGGCGTGGGGGCGGGGCGGGGCGCGGGCGCGGCGGGCGCGTACGGGGGCGCGGGGGCGGCGGTGGGGGCGGGGGCGGGGGGCCCGGGGGGCGCGCGCCCGCCGCCGCCGCAGCCGCAGAAGCGCGCCGCCGACGCGCGCAGCCCCATGCCGCCGCAACACAAGCCCAACATGTACAACACGTCAGTGTTTCGTTCCCCTTTTTACCTTCGTAGTGAATGTCACTAAAATGAATCGAATTTAAATAATGTTTCTTATCAATTGCATTAATTTTTTACCTGAAAAACCCTCCTGAATTAAATTGACAGACTCGAATTCATAATTTGAATCGTCACATTCGCAGGGAAGTCTACTGCGGGGGGGCGGCGGGCGGGAAGCGCAAGAAACGTCTGGCTGACAAAATCCTCCCCCAGAAGGTATTTACATTTTCATTTTCAGCTCTCGTAAGAGGGTTTCGGATTCGCATCCTTATATTGATGAAATAGGAGTCGGATATTAAAAAGTTAAACGTTATACGTTTCCCATTACTAGATATTTGTTTCTCCGAAAAATAAAATTTTCCTATTAATTAAATAATTTTTCCCAAAAATAAATATGATTATGAAAAACGTATTCTACTTCTTGAATAAAATATTCAAAAAATAGGAGCGCTGCTCGAAATCGGATCCCGCGTGGTATCGAGATATGTCACGAGAATTTTTAAAGACGCTATGATAAAAACGTCAGTCTTCTAGTTTATCCTATCGTTTTACCATTTGACACGTGATTAAATAATTTCGGGTTCGACAGGTGCGGGACCTGGTGCCGGAGTCGCAGGCCTACATGGACCTGCTCGCGTTCGAGCGCAAGCTGGACGCCACCATCATGCGCAAGCGCCTCGACATCCAGGAGGCGCTCAAGCGGCCCATGAAGCAGAAGCGGAAGCTGCGTATCTTCATCTCCAACACCTTCTATCCAGGTACCGCACTCACCGCAATATCACTATTGATCGCGTCTACTGCTGAATGCCGTACATTGTAGAAATGTCATGAGTCGACGAAGAGTGGGTTACAGGGGTTACTCGTTATACAGGGTTATTTGTGAGACACATAGGTGGAGCCCACCGAACCATTTTTACCATCTTAAAATAGGGCCTCGACCCTCGCAGTATACCTATATATGTCCGTGATGACACGTATAAAGTTTTAACATTCGAACGATACATTGATGAAAGTTAATATCATTAGGGAAGATGAAGAGCGATGTTATTTATGATGTAAGCGATGTAGTTCAGCGGTGTAATGATGAAATGTAATTAATCCTCACAGGACAAGGAGACAACGCCGTCGCCTCGTGGGAGTTGCGCGTCGAGGGCAGGCTGCTCGACGATTCGAAGAATGATCCCAACAAGGTAGCGACAAGATCACACATATTTCGTATGTCGAAAGACGATCGAGTTTAATAAATTGTTTTACTTCTGTATTTCCAAATGATAAAGGCAACGCAAAATAAACCACAGCCAACGGCGATTTTTAGGCTACGTCGATATCAGGGTCATTTTATCTCTATTAGACTATTTATGACGCCACGGGAAGTGTTATTTACTGGATTCAAAAACATTGCGTTCCAATAATTTATCGAGATACATATGTCGATTCTTGTTATTTGTGGTTCATATGTCGACATTTGATTGAGGGTGCCCCGTTAAGTACTGTGCAGTATTACAATAAGACCATTACTGCCAAGGGCGGATCGTGAATAAGTGGAGCCCTGGGCCAATATTAATCAGGAGCCTATTAATTACAGAAGTGATTGTACATAATTTTATTAAGTAACTGTTTTCATTAGTACCGTATCGTATATTATTTTTTTGGGGGTTGAGGGTCCTTTATATCCACGGGGCTCTGCGCTGAAGCCCGTTAAGCCCTTAGCCAGATACGCCCTCGGGCGTTGCAGCTCGTCGTAGTCCGGCATTTCAATGATGATAGAAGTGTCAATAGACAGTGTCAATGGAAGAAGTGTCAATAGAATAGAAGACGTGTGCTTTGCTCTGGGCTGCTTATCGTACATCTCGACAGTTACCCTTAGAGAATAAAGCGGTCCCGATTCTAAAGCTAATGTACAGAAGTCGACAAGATAGAATGACATCTCTTCCTGACCCCTGTTTGTGAAACAAGTTGAGGACTATTTTTTCAAGCTGGATCTTTCTTCATTTTAGTACTTCGTCTCTCCATTAATCTGTTCCTTTTTTCCTCTCTTTTTCTTGTTAAGTATATTTATTAATTTAATGCACTAACCCGTTATATTTGTTCTCGGTTGGTATCGTTTCTGTTAGCCAAAGGTTGCCTGGTAGAAATTGCTACTCTTTTTTTTTGTACCGAGGGGAACTGACCTTAACATATATCATCGACCTGGACTAGAGGCCGACTGAACCCGGGCTCTTCTGCTGCGGAGGGTTAAAGAACCCCCTATCTACAGCAGGCCTACCGTGCAAAACCTCCCGTACCACCCTCGCGCATAGTCCGGTACCTGGTATCCTAAAATAAGTCCCAGGTAGATCCGGACCGCGGGGGACACTCGGTGGTGTCCCTCCTTCTGTGGAGGTGGTTCAATGACCCTGGAAGTGGTCATCCCCCACAGTCGCTTCCGAAGAGGGACTATTGGGCAATCTGGACCCCCTGAATTGTCTGACTAAGCTTTGACAGATCGCTCCTCGGCCTCCCCATGGCTTCCTCCTCGGGCAACCCCGGCGCCCTTCGAGCGATAAGTGAGAGCATTCCCGCTGCCTGGTGTCGACCGCTGGTCCACGTGGCTCCTCCCCCCGACGACTCATAAAGCGTCTCGCCGCCTCGCCGCAGCCGTCGCTGCCTATGACAGGCATATGACTGCCATAGCCCGCCGCCGCCGGGCCCGGCCGTCGAATCTGTCATAGGACGTACCCGATGACCCCGCCGTGGTGCGAGAACAGGGACGTCTCCCCTCTCCTCGGAGAGCTGCATCCCGGCACCGCTAACCCCACACCCCCCGCCTCTCGTCACAGTTCTCAGAAGGAGAGCCGTGTTTAAAGGTCGGCGAGTAGGGGGAGCCGCTCCGGGCTACGCCACCCCGCGCCAGTGGGCACTATTGCGTGCCGCCCGGTACCGCACGCAATAGTGCCCACTAGCTAAAGAGAACCCCTCTTTTGTCTTTCTCTTCTTTCGAACCTGCGTCCAGGTTTCTTCTCCATCTTGTACCTCTTCCCTCTTTTCCTTCCTCCTGTCCATTATCCTCGCCGCAGGTTTACGAGTTGCGCTAGCGGCTCGTTAGTCCGCAGCGAGTGGCGTCGTCTCACCGGAGGGAGCGGCCCGTCCTGCAGCCCCTCGATCCTGACATTCACCAGTGTTCCGACCGACCGCTGATACTCCTCCATAAGTCCATCTAGTAGGCCTTTGTCAACAGGTGTCAAGAGATTTCTTGGTGAAGAAAGTTCCGGACCGACGCTGACAGAGGCTGAAGTGAAAATCTCCCTCATCTTTACCATCTCCGCGCGCATCTCTCCCATTTCCTTCCTCGAAGTCCCAATTTTTGCGTCCTGTTCCTTCATCATGTCTACACCTCCTCACTTGGCTCCTCAGCTTTCTATTCTCCTCCCTCATTTTGGCATTATGTTCAGTCAGGGCCCTGTATCGGGGCTATGTACAACCTCGTTCAGGTCAAGAATATACCTGAACGAGGTTGTACATATCCCCGATATTGTCTTCAACCTCCTTCAGGGCATCCGTAATCTCCCGCTTCGCTCAGCTCTTTACGGTCCATCACGTGGGAGACGACGTCCTGTACTGCATCGGTAGCGTCTCTGAGCAGCCTGTCCCTGTCTCTCTCAAGACACTCCATGTACTCAAAGTGCCTTAACTTGGAAGCCTCGCTGAATACGGATTCAGGGTCGCTATCAGGTGCCGTCAAGTTCAGGTCGACGCTGGAGCATATCTCCAACTCCATGTCCTGACCTTCTATCCGCTTCTGACCTTTCAACGCTTCTTCCTGCACTTTTCCCTCCTACGCTCTTCCCTCTCTTTTCAACTCCTATTTCTAAGGCATCGAGTATCTTAGGGTTCTCCTTCCTTCTCTGTTCTTTCAGTACCAGCAGCGGGAGATCTGAGCTGCTGGACCTAATCTCTTCTCCGTCTTTTTCCTCCTCACGCAGAACGTCTCGCCCCCTGGCAAGGATCTTTGCATCAGGAGACACCGTATGGTCTCCCGTTAGGTCCACCTTCTCGATTGGACTCTTGATGCCGGTCGATGAAGCTCTCGGACGCGGCGCATCCACACCTTCGCTTTCCTTTCTCCTCTCGTTCTTTGAGCTGTTATCTGTCGGATGCGCTTGCTCCACCACTGGTCACAGCGAGAGATTCTCGTTAGGCCGTCGGGTACCCTCCGGAGGTATATTAGTTTTTGTGGCCGAACTTTTCATTTTGGTTACCTCTTACGGGCGAGGCGCCCCAGTCTCCTCCTCTTCTCCTATCCCCCTCTGTGGTTTTTTAGTGAGGTTGTCTCCTCTCGTCCCCCGCCCGCAGGCAGCGGCCGTCAGTCCCGCAGCTCGTACGGGATACCGAGCGTGGCCGGAGGTGGCTCAGTAGAGCCGTTTTGTCGCCGGTACGTCGTACAGACGCGGGTTAGACCGCACACCGACCCTCCGCCCTCTACCAACGACCACGCCCCAAGTCGTGGCCTTCAAGAGGCCTACCACCCCCTCGAGTCGCCGGCCGATAGCGCTATAGACGCGCCCGGTAGCGGGAAAAAACAGCTAAAACCGCCGCGGGAGAAATTACTACCCTAGCAATAAGGCCGCCTTTTTTATTTTTGTTTTATGTGTTTGTTTTTAGTGCAATAAAGTATTAATCAATCAACCAATCAGGTTCAGGGCCTAGCTGATGTGTCGTTTATCACAACATGTCATCGATAAATGGTAAATGTCGATTATTGATAATAGACAATTCCCGTGGAGTTGATTCCTGGTAATAATAGTAAATTTATTATAATCTACTTATGCCCGTTTTCACTAACTGAGAACAAGTTATAGCTTAACTAGAAAAGCATAAGCAGATTTGTCGTTTCACCAAACCTGAAATGTTAGGTAATCTACTACAAAGCCCTCATTTAGATAGGCAACGTTTGTCTATGGTTTTGCATGCTTCAGTTCTTCTTATTTTTATGTCCTCTTTCCGTTTACATAATTCTGCCAATGTTACTTTAGTCGCCTTTATACGTAGAGAGACAATAACAAAAATATATATTTTGAGGTAATAAAAAAAATAGATGGTTTTCACATATATAAATTACCCGATTCCAACTTACTAAATCGATTTTATCCCTCGACTCATTCTTTATTATGGCCAAAGAGTAAACGTATTTATTACGATACGCAAACGCCCAGCGGAAGGCGTCGCACAATGCATGTCCTAACGTTAAGCGTTGCTCAATGTCATTAGGTGGCTCTCTGGCACTTGTGAAACGAGTTCTTACCATTGACAACGCCCTAATGTTTAGGTGTCAGATTTGGGCGACTCCCGAGATTATAGAACACTGACATCGGTCTGTTTACATAGCATTATTATTAATACGCGTCCCAACGTTGTCAGGTGAAACGCAAGTTCTCATCGTTCTTCAAATCACTGGTGATCGAACTGGACAAGGAGCTGTACGGGCCCGACAACCATCTGGTGGAGTGGCATCGCACCCTCACCACGCAGGAGACGGACGGATTTCAGGTACATGCGGTCGTAATGAAAATATTTTCGCAAACGGATGTTTAAATTAGTCGTCTTGAAACGTGAAGTTTTACCCCCGGTTTCAATATTCTACCGACAACCGTCGGTAGCAGCTAAAAACCTTTTCTCTACCGACAACCATTCGCTTTGTTACATTTCACAATTATCGGTAGACGACTAGGCGCCTGCCAACTACGAACGGTTGTTACGAACTCGAATACTGAAATATATAGAATCTGAAAAATATCCCTTGTTAGTTTTATTTTATAAAAACTACAAATTAAATAGAAAAAAATCGTAAGAAATTCATATGGAGTCTGAACTATCAACCAGGTAAACTATAAACTAGTTATAATGTTTTATTATTTGAAGTAAATTCCAAAATTGACATATTAAACGTTTCTTTTAACAAGTAAATTACTTTAAAAAGGAATACACCTAAATTAATGAAATTCCTATAGGTTAATGAAGAACAAATCTTAAATTTTTATCCCCACATTATTATACAGAATTAGTTTCACTTGAATCAAAAACCTAATCTTATTTTGAAGTCGGTTAAAAATAATCACTATACACTTTATATCATTATTTTAAATTAAAAATTTTCATTTTTCAAAAATTAAATAATAACTAGAACCTTTTGGAAAATGTTTACAACCCCTGAAATAACATGATTAGTTTATATAATATAAGTTTTGATCTCGAATGAAATTTCGTAATATAAATAAACCTGAGCAATACATAGTTCATTGAAATGGTATGGTACATGGGTATGAAAGTTTTTTGTCCCTTTAGTAAGTACAAGAACGCGAATGTGTCACTTTTTCGAACCTCGCCAATTTCTAATATCTTTCAATTTTTGGTCCACAAAATGAAAAAAAAAAGGCATTGAAACATTTATGTAAACCTCAAAGTGAATAGTATCACCCTAGGTTGTGTGTGCTATATTCCTTTGCCTTTAATTATGCCTAAAAGTAAAGTTGATGTGTGTTCTGTGGAAGCTGGCGGGAATTTCATACGGAGTTCACCTATATTATAAAATTTCGATTGTATTAAGTGATTTGTATATATTACAGTACATAATAAATTTGCAAGATAACATTAATGAAATTGACAGTGAACAATTGCGATTACATTGGATGATAAATGGATTGTTATTAGAAAATGTGGAATAATTGTATCAAATTGTTAAACAAACAGAAAAATGCAATGGAAAAATTTAAAAATTGTGTAGATTTTTATTTGTAAAACAAAAAAGGTAGATCCGAATTGGTTTTATTGAGAATCTAATAAATATCATAGTGTTTAATGAAAAATAAAGGATATAAACTAATTATGTAACAGGTATAAGTTTGGTAGAAGTAGGTGGCAAATTCAGCTTCATCAGAACTAGGTTTTTCATAAGTATATAGAGTGAAATTATCAAGTTTTTCACCAGATACATATCGTAGAAAGCATCTGGAGCAATAATTATTTACTGGTATAAACCCTCAAAGGAACAAAAATTGACATGATTACAACTTTAATTTTTCTAATTGTAATCACAAAACACACTAAGCTTTTGTAAAATATTAATTTTTAACCAAAAACTGTTATTTTTTTATAATCTAACAAGGGAAAACGTGTAATTTACAAATATTTATACGATAATTTACGAAAAATGGTCGGTAGGCAAATTCGACAGATAAATTACGGATAGGAAGTTCGATAGCTTTACCGACGGTTAGATTGTTTATTGAAACCCCTTTTGCACCGTTTTCATACATTTTGTCAGTATCAGATCGATCCGTCAGGAGCTTTAGCTACCGATGGTATGTTATCGAAACACTCTTTGGCTCTCGTCGGGAGGAGATAATTGATCGTTCGATATCTGTCGGCAGGTGAAGCGGCCCGGCTACAAGAACGTGCGCTGCACGATCCTGCTGCTGCTGGACTACCAGCCGATGCAGTACAAGCTGGACCAGCGGCTGGCGCGGCTGCTGGGCGTGCACACGCAGACGCGGCCCGTCATCGTCAACGCGCTGTGGCAGTACGTCAAGACGCACCGCCTGCAGGAGCCGCACGAGCGCGAGTTCGTGGCCTGCGACAAGTACCTGGAGCAGATCTTCGGCTGCGCGCGCCTCAAGCTGGCCGAGGTGCCCGCGCGGTTGGCGGCCCTACTGCACGCGCCCGACCCCATCGTCATCAACCACGTCATCGCCGTCGAGCCGCCGCACGACGCCAAGCAGACCGCCTGCTACGACATCGACGTCGAGGTCGACGACACGCTCAAGGCGCAGATGAACTCCTTCCTGCTCTCCACCGCCAACCAGCAGGAGATCCAGGGGCTCGACGCCAAGATCCACGAGACCGTCGACACGATCAACCAGCTCAAGACCAACCGCGAGTTCTTCCTCAGCTTCAGCAAGGACCCGCAGCGGTTCGTCCAGAAGTGGCTCGTGAGCCAGGCGCGCGACCTGAAGACGATGACCGGAGCGGGCAGTAGTGGCGAGGAGGAGCGCGGCGCGGCGCTGTACGCGCAGGCGTGGGCGGGCGAGGGCGTGCAGCGCTACCTGCACCAGCGCGTGGCCGCGCGCCGCCGCGACCTCGACCTCCACCTCGCCCGCCTCTAGGCGTATTCAATAAACGATACACCAATAAACGATGCGATCATAATGACTTCACTCTCATTTCGTCCCCGATGCTGCAGGAGCTCTTGCCCGAATCGACCTCGACGAACCTTTCGAGGCCGCTTTCGTAAAAACGTCCACCGACGCCCGTGAAATCCGGGGTGGGCCCGCGGCGTCGTTTCGTTCGCCCCGAAAACCTCCTCCGATGTGTCGAGTTTCCGCGATCGATTCCCCGACCCCGCTCGCGACGCGCGTTCACTTGATCTCCTCGACTCTTGCCTTCTGACCGCTCGAACCGTGCCTTTCGAAGGCGCCCCGCGACGGAGGACGACGCGAAAACCCTACAAAAATATGCTACAGATTACCCAAAGTACTACCCAAAAGTCCGAACTTTTCTTCTTAACGCTAGGAAACCCCACCGTTCGCCCTCGTTCCCCCGGCGCGGAAGGCCGACTTAAGCTTTTTGACTAGCGGTATTCTAACTATATCCCCTTCCATTAAAGCGATGCTCCGCTCTCCCTCCATACGGAGCGAATCTCGCGAGTCATCTCTAGTGACGCTCGCGCGGGAGACCAGGCTGACGGAGCAGCAGACCGACCTCCGACTCTAGCCATGTATATGAATACGTTTTATTGATTTTATCGATTAACATTCTAGTTTTGTAATTTACATACTTCAGTGATTCACTGAATTGATTTAATCTGAATTCAAAAAATTTCTACTTTACGCAAAAAAGTATCGAAAACGTTTTCGTAACTTTGGCTCGATTGGAGCGAGAGAGTCGAGCGGTTACTCTCGAGAATTTCGTTTTATAAAAGACGCCTCCGATGTCGATACGAATGCCCGGTCGTTCATTTGTTGGGAGTAAGCCGTTTGTGTAGATTCACTCGCCGTGAACATTTAATAGTTTTGACGAAAAATGCCCCCAGCCCCGGGTACCCTTAACTAAACGAAACTCCGACCTCAAACGTTTCGCAACCCCGGCCCCGACGGGTCCCGAGACCCTCCGAGGCCGCACTCGCCTCCGCTGCTAGTGCATCACTATCTGCCAACCACCAAAAACAAGAAAATGACTATTTTTAAAATAATAAAGCATGCAAAAAGCACCTCACTAGATGGCGATTCTAGCAAAAGTTGATTTTTGCATGAAACGAATGCACCAAACATAGAAATAGAAAAAAAAAGAAAAAAAGAACGGAAATGTTCCTTTTGACTAACATAATATTAAAAAACTGAAAGAAGAATGGCGAAATCAGACCCCATAATTTTCAATACCGGTCATGGATGGCAATATGACAAATAAATAATATATGATTAATACATTTTATTTCTAAAAATGGTGAATTTTATTGTCGGGGAACCAAATTAAAATATTAAATGCTGCTAATAATTATCAAGATAACAAAACGTCTGATGATAGTGCAAAAACAAAACGCGAACATCTGAAGGAACGTTCTAGTCTACGCCGAAGTACTTTAATAATAAAACTATATTTTGGAAGTGTTTCATTAATTTTGCGCCGGGCAATGAAAGGGTTATCTATTTGAATGGATTTTATTATTATATTTTGATTAGTTTTGCATTCACAATGCCTTACTGAAAATTATAAAAAAATAATCTCAGGGTGCCAGGGACCAATTGAATTTTTTAATTTTATCGTTTCCTGTACATTGCAATTAATTCTTTTGCCTTTAAAGTACCATTAATACGCTTAATAATCGAATATAAGTTCAAAATAAGACTATAGAATAAATTCCCTTGCCTTTATTGAAAACCACACAATATGTAATGATGCGTAAAGTAGATATGTAGGGAGAGGGAAACGTAATAAATCACCAAACCCTATGAGTGCTGTTTCTACACTGGTTTAATGTTATAACATTATAAAAGACAATAATTAACAAGTGAATTTAGGTTACAGAGCGTTGAACTTGAAACACAGTCAATGTACAAATACAGTCTTTGAATATTTTTAATAAATATTTATTTTATTCGTTCAAATTACGTATTGAATACTTGAGAAACAAAAAAAATGAAAGCTAAGATACCACAACCAATTTAAGAACATTATTGCCAGTTCTTCAGTTGATCCGATGAAAGGTTTACGTATCGATTATTTTGTTCTAAATAATCAATTAGTTGATTTTATTTTGACATGCTTGTTTTTGCTTGTTACATTGCCCTTATATGTCACTATCAGTTGTAATGAAGTCATATGTTATAAATGTTTCTTCTATTATGTGTCTGGATCTTGTTAGATATGTAATTATTTTAATCTAGTATATTTAACGGAGTAACCTGGTTAATTTAACGGATTTTTATTTATTTTAACGACCATTCAACGAAAAAGCAAAGATGCAATATATAACTTCACAATGTATTGTATGCCTATATCTTTTTAATCCCAGCTTTTAAAGGAGAAAGATGATTAGGATTTTGTTAGTTTTGTTCAAGTACACGTTAATTCATTCATGAACCAGGTCAGGTCAGGTCCAAAGCTATATGTGAGTTCGCCATTCTTCTTTACAAAGTTGAAAACTTAGATATCAATACAAATTCGAAAAGTACAAATAGAATATGAGTTGTTTTGAAAATTAATTTACTTTTATACATGAAAGAAAACCGGAAGAATTATCATGGAGAAATGAAGAAAGTACCGTAGCGACATCTAGTTTGATTTCAGGAACTAGTTTCTTTTTTTTTAATACTTCGTCATTATAAACAAGAGAAAACAGTAGGTAGAAAGAAGGCATATATCATACTGTGCTAGTTTAAATAAAACTATCACATTGGTACTTTTATTAGTTATCAGGACTTACATACGTTGTTATATTACGTAAAATTTAAAAATAAATGAAAACTGAAACTGAACTATCTATTTTCCACTTTCGTCCTCGATTGCCCCTCATATTTCTCTGTAATATCATACGTAGTCTTGATGAATCTCCATGTGTGGTTTCAAATGAGTAGCAATTTCAGATTATATTTAATATTCATATATTAAATTTATAACATTGTTATATCAATATCATAAAATTTGAAAAAATATGTTAAAAATATTCAAGTGAAAATCGAAAAAATCAAATATGAAACAGACGATTATGCTTCTTTTATTAGGGTGTACCTCAGAGCAAATACGATCAACTTTGGCAACCTGAAAATTGGTCTCTGTATATTAAATTTTGTGAGTGGATTTGGTTTGGCAGAAGCACCGAAAAAAAGGTTGTAAACCTATTTAAGTGTTTTATCAAAACGTAAGAGAGGAGGAGCAGGAGAAGGAGATTTTGCAGATCAGCCCTGCGATTCTGTAAAAAATAAGACATAGGAATAGAATAGCTTTGACACGTATCATCAATCAATCGTGTTTTGTATTTTTATACAAAAAATGGAATCAATAGAATTTCTACTAGGTCTGGGACAGAATCGCAGGGCAGTTACTGTTTCATATCATTACTAATATTTTAAGACATATTGTAATTCCACTTACTATATCGTTATGGTAAATTGTAATTATAATATTTTAGATCAGGTTTTGAGTAAAATGGGTAATATAACCGACGGAATACGTTGATATATTGAGATACGTTGCTGTCATCTACAGGTAATAATAATTAGAGATGTGCCGAAAATTCGTTTACTAATCGGTATTCAGCGTATTCGGCATCTATTTTACTATTCGTATTCAGTCGAATTATTCGGTTTTGGAGCCAAATCTATTCGGTTTTAGTATATCTATTTTCTTAGGTATATTTACAAGGTATAGTGCTAAAGGACGAAACTTCTTATGGAAAATTTAATTACATAAGTCAAAGAAAGTCTATGAAAATTGTGTTGAATAAAATAAAACAAAAAACACTTCAAATCATTAATATATATTTTATAAACTATAGTCGCTATAAAAATATAATAGAGATCAGAAATAAAATAAATAATAAGTAATACCGGTTGTCACAGCGTAGGTGCGTTTGTCACTTCCTCGGCGCACCGCCAGTAACCTTATCACTTATTTATATGGCCGATCTCAGACCTACAGTAGACAGCGGATTACAAGTTGACGTTGCATTGCATACTTTAATTTTAAAAAGCTTTTAATCTAGTTCAAAATGACATGTTACTTCTAAAGTTAGCGAGTGTCGGCTTCACGCCACACCTCTTATTTCTTTGTGATATGAACAGCGATTCGGTGCAGCAATCTTAGACCGCTGCAGTTCATATTAATAATAAATTACCTTGGACTGTAGGAAAATATGCGGAGTACTTAATGTTTGCAATGCAGACGGCCTAAAGTTGTATCATCCTATTAAAGATCTAGAAGACTATGAGAAGCTGAAAACAGATATAAACATGTATAGTTGCTTGGAGCTCGAAAAAGAAATTACAATTCAATACTTCGAAATGCGTAGTTATAAGGTATGGGGAAGATATGACAAGTGACCGAGGTTAAAGATTTGGGCGTCTATGTTACATCGGGGCGGTCCTAGCTTAATTTTTAGGTGGTGCAAGATTATATGGTGGCGCCCCTCTCTTTATAAAAAGTTCCTTCTACGTGGTTACTTAGCAACGCATCAATTCGACCGAATTCTTTCAGAAAAATTTCAAATATTCTTAAAACCTACAAAAACCGTTAACAAATAAAAAAAACATGTGAATTAGGGCTGGGGTTTGCTGACCATGCTTTTAACCGCCGGACTTCAAATGAAGTTTCTTGAATTTGTTAACTGCCTTAAATACAATATTATTTTTTTAAGACTGCCACATAAAAAAAGCAATAATTATTTATGTAACAGAAATAACAACAATGACATCGTTAAGATAGTTTAAGCAATAAAATGTTATCTTATTCAGTTATCTTCATATACCTATATAATATATGTGTTTGTCATCTAACTTCTCTTAAACAGCTGGACCGTTATGGTTGAAACTTTGTATGTATTTGGCCCGGATATATTTAATATATAATTGAACCCGATAGGTGGTGTCGAGGCGGTACGAAGTCGGCAAAATCCAAAGCGCTGTACAGTCATTCGGAAAAATATCCTGCCAA